AATGTCAGAGTTAGTAGCATCTACTATCTGACAGCCCCAAGTGCTTCCCTGGAAACACGATGAGTGATGCTCATCCAAACAACCCACATGGTTCCTATTAGCGCACATGACGTCATTATTAGCCGTATGTCGTGTGGTGACGTTAAGGATTTAAATCACGACACATAAACCCGCCAAATTAACCAAACCAACACCGCTTCGTTACAGCCACTGTTTGATCGCTATGGTCTGTTTTAACCACGTTACTTTAAAGTGAATTCAAACGGGTCCCTGCACAGAAGAGGATCTGGGTCACGGCAACATTTGCTTATCGACTCATGGGGCAGAGAGGTTGTGGTAACTTCATGTTAGCTAATGGGCGGGTGCGCATGTCCTGATTCGCATGGCAAAAGCCAAAAACAAACTTTAATTCTGGGGAACTTTACTGTTCCCGGAAGCCAAACAACCACAAATACTTACATAGGACTGACAGTTGAAATAAATATAGTAAAGGTGAGTTTAACCAGGAAATAAAGAACTGTCCGATAATGGGTGTATATGCTTAGCGCACGTGTGTTACTAACGGCTGGGGACACTTCTCTTTAGCAGGCATCAGTTGCTAGCAAAGCTTCGCTGTTTGTAGCCCACACACACTTTAACTACTGCCGACCCTCAAATAAAGCGCAACAGTTTCAAACTACGCTGTAAAACACACAGACTCAACCGGAACCATGACGCTACCGGACTCCGTCCACGGGAGAAGTGGGAACGTAACAAAGCGCAGACATGTCCAAGTTAAACTAGTTCCCCAACGCAAACAATAGCGATCTGTACATGTTTAGCTTCCCGACTGAGACCCGGCGAATATCAGAGAAACGAGCCACCGGCGGCCGCTATGCGTACTCACATGAATGGATCTTTATTCCAAACAAACCTTACGTCGGTTATCTAAAAGTAGGAGAAATGTTTTTATTTCCTTTTAGCTAAAATAACTTAGCTAGATGGCTGTACCGAGGAAGGCCGCCCTTTGCATCTTCTTCTACTACGACGGGCGACGGAGCCTACAACGAGTACACAGCGCTGCTGCCCCCCGCAGGCAGCTGTGGGACACGACAGCATCTCGCATACACATGACAATGCAACTTCAGGATAAATTATAAATATAGAGTTTTACATTTGGAAATACACAGATAAAGGTAGAGAAAGGATGATTAAACATACATTAAATTCCCATTAATATAAAAAAGACATGACTTCTGGATGCACAGATTTCCAATTGTATTTGTTACATCGCTGCAGTTGCATTTCATTTGCCCTCAGCATCAGGATCCGCCCTTTGTCGCAGCTTATTACCATCTGTTTGCATGTGTAGATCAAATTTATTTCCCTTTGTGTGTCACTTAATTGCAAACGAAACTAGTTGGGTTACAAGAAACGGCTTTCTAAAGGCACATTGCCACATTGAAAAAATTGTCCAAAAGCCAAGTCTTTGTTTTAAGTTTTATTTTCTAGAAAATATCTGAATAGTTACTTTCCTCCCCTTTAATAACTATTCATTATTATCTTATCATAATTTAGAAAAGATACTTACCCATTATTTATTTGTTTGCTGATTCATCAATCAGATGCAAGACAACTTTAACCAGTTGACTTCATCTGATGTCATTGTTTCCATTCTTCCAAATCTACACAGCTATTTCACATTAACATTCCAAGCCTGAAGCAACTCAACTCCCCTTCCTTCAAATCTTGGCAGTGAATTTCAAGTTTATTTCCTCTTTGAATTCATCATACTTTTGATACTCTCCTGTTTTTTAACCTGGACTTGGAAAAGATCTTGAAAAATCTAACCAAACTGGTTTGAACTGAGGTTCTGTGGCTTACCACTGAACCTCACACACCTTAGGAGGCCATAAAATCATATACTCTGACTCTCATATACTATACTCTATGAGCTAATTCTTTTTACATATGTTTTTTGATTCTGTTTCATTCTGTGTTTTAATTAGGTGCACGACTTAATGAGGGTTTACAAAACAAGTATAAAATGTTAGAGCAGCAGAAGTATATCTGTAGATCTGCATGAGGAGGCAGACTTCCAACGACTTGACATCTTCCTTTTAATCGTTTGCTGACTGCTTCTTTTTCTCTTTTCAGATTTATTTGGAGCCGCTGTCTGATTCTCATTCATGTGAAATCCACCAACATCCGGTAGACATTTAAAAAAAAGAAAAAACTGTTCCAATTAAAGTGCTTTTCTTTGTCTGCATTTTGTCAGTCATGTGTGAAATGTCAGTTCCATTATGCAAAAGTGAAAACAGCAGTTTACAAAGAGGAGTCGGTCGGCAACTGCAACATAGGTTTTTAATTTGTTTTGTGTACCTCAGAGATTTTTTTTTCTACCCTGGCCACATTCATTTGGATCTTTTGGACGTAACAATGTTTGATACGGACACAATTCTCTGAATCCCTCACTTTTTGTTGTTCTCAATTTATCTGAAAGTGTCTTTTTAAATAATTTGTCTTGGTACAAACAGATCTTCCTCAAACTTCTGAGTGGCTATGTTAAAGGAAACTAGTAAAATGAATCAAATGCCTGAGATTTTGCTTACTGCTTGGTTTATTGCACATTTGTGGTGTATAAAGGCTTCATATTGACATGATCTCAACATTGCCTAGATGTTTTTTTCTACTTCAGAGATTTTTACAGTTTGATGTGGACACAGTCAGAAAATGTCTTTTTTTGATCATTTGTCTTCGTACAATCTTAATCACATCATCCTGAACCTTCTGGAAAAAATAACCTCATTACTTGGGCTTTTTCTCTCTGCTCGGTTCATTGCACAGTTGTAGCTAAAGCCAACTTCAGACTGACATTACTGTTTTAATCAGGGTTGGCTGGGTGTTTTGTTTACTTTAGTTTTTTATTTTTTTTTAATTGACATTTACAGACATTGAGTTTGTTCTTTAATCGAAATTAAGGATGTAATACTGGCTGATACCATAGTCTGAACATAAATGTGGCCGACATGACGTCTAAATCACCTGAAGTCTCCATGTTAATAGATGGGACATGGACCAAACTAAAAGGTCAAAGCACAGGCCTTTTTTCCCCCCTCAAAGATGGTTTCTGTCATTTTAGTTAGTTCTAGTCACACTGATGTTATTATTATATGTTATATGATGCTTGAAGGAGTTAGGTTTGACAGCCCACACTGAATCGAGATTGGTCGAGCTTGTGCACTACCGCGGTTCCTTCCCCCGATCGCTATTGTGCTGACTGGTTCCAAATGTGGAAGATGTCCAAGAATTTTTTTGCTTCATTTCTGGATAGTGGGACTAAGTGAAGACACAACACCTATCTCTATAATCAGTCTATGCAGTCTTCTGAATCTGTCATGTTTTCTTTTGCTCATTTAATCTGATAGTGGCTTTTTAGATCATTTTCTTCACCACTTCCTGCTTCCTCCTCAACTATTTCCTGCTTCCTGCTCAGTTCTTTGCAGATTTGTAGCTTTATCAGGTGTTACATATATATTCAGTGATGGTGGGTTCAGCTTGATATGATCTTATCTTTGGCTGGATGTTTTGTGGCAGTGGATTGGCTGAACTGCATATATATATATATATATATATATATATATGGATGCAGTACAGTCCTGCTGACAGCTATAATAACTGCCAGGAGGAGGCGCTTATCTCACAGTGTGCAGAAGCATCACTGAGGAACTGCATCAAACACACAAAAAAAGACACTGTGAATGTTTCCCCTGTTATCAGAGCCCAAACCGTGTGTCTTTTTTGATTTAGCTGGCCTGACATTAGCACATTATGGATGACAATGGAGTCCAGTGTGTCAGAGCAGAAAATATACTTGAGGAAACCATAATAAAAAGATGGAAGGCAGAGATATGACAGGATTCATGCCGTTTCCAGATTCAGCTCTGCAATTTGTCAAAGAAACAACCTCGGCTGTTAAACTTAGACACTTGGAGTGCTGCTCGGTAAATCATGCTGACAATAATGATAGCTACAGTATGTCCTGAGTGGTTGTTTAATGGGGACAGGCTCTGTTCTGTTTACCCCACTGACATGTTTATTTACAGCAGGAAGAGATGGGAGAGAGGCACAGGTCGATCTCTTCATCATTATGAAGGAAAAACTGTGTCATTATGAGTGTGATTATTGTTATTATCATGTCTGGTTGAATCTGTTAAGAGGAAGTGAAACTACACTGTTTATTGTGTTGCTTAAAGTAAGTGGCAATAACGAGAGCAACAATTATCTCTGACGTTGATTTGATAGGTCTGTTTGGCTTTTTTTATACTCTAAGAAAACCTTATTTTAGTTAAAGCTAATTCATATTTATTTTACCCTGTATATTCTGTATGACTACTGCACTCAGAGACCATATAACTCCACCGAGTCCCAGCGGTCCCATACGTATCCTTCCACTAAGTTTTGTGGTGATCTGTCAAGTTGTTTTTGTGGTAATCCTGCGAACTAACAGACAAAAAACACAAACTTCTTGGTGAAGGTAATAAGATATTTGGTAAACTCAATGCAGTTTTAATTATTGACCATCACTCCAGATCTAAAATTATACCATGCGGAGTGACTACGATCTGTTAAGTTTAGATTTTTCTTTTTTCTTGTGTTACATGCTGTTCAGTCAGAGAATCAGAAACTTTATTGGGAGAAACTTTGTTTAAAACCCTGTGTAACATCCCAGAATTTCTGTTTGTTATTTTCATAGTCCACAAAAAAGACGAAAGAACATTTAGGCAGGAAATAATACAGTTGGTTAAAGAAACAAAATAAATTAGAAATTATTTTATTGGAAAGTGACAATTATTCTTTTGCACTACTGTAAAAAATAAATAACAGTAGGCTTTTTCCTGTAGGGGGCGTACTGTTTTACAAACACTGGATTATCCTCTGGCCAATAGTGATGCTCAGGAGATTATTCAAACAGCATCTAAAAAAAGCTCTCCACTCTATGCCCCCACTCGGACTGACAGACTGGAAGTGAACAGTGTGGAGTCGAGCTGCCTGTTGCATGAGATGTCTGCGTTTTACCGGCTGCTTCTCCTGTTGTCTGGTGAGTTTCTCGTTTACTTTGAAGTGAAGATTTTACTGGTGATGAAAAGCAGAGGGCTTAAACATATTCTAAGACCAAAGAAGGGAGTCGGTGAAGTTGAAAGCCTTGAGGGGAAACTACAAGTGACTGAGAGTGTTATTCTAAGGCAGCAAGTGAAAATACATAAAAGCGATGTTGTTTTATACAATATTTATTTTTCCTTCATTTCTACTATGAAGCTGGTTGAGCTTTTCAGGCAGCAGAGTGTAGTTTTTCCTGGTGCTCCTGAGGCGTAAGATGAAGGAAAGTGTTAAGTCTTATCTGAGTCTCAGTTATTGTTAAAGGGTTCATATGTGGAAACACCTTGATTGATTAGATTTAATATGGAGCTGGAAAACAATGATATCTTAAGTCAATACACCTGCAAAAACACACTTTTGTGAGACTTTAATGCTTAAGTAAGATGTTGTGAATCTGCAGTGTTCCTGTTTGTATCACATTTAGCAAATTCTGCGACAAAAAAACAAAGTGCCACATGAAGTGAGACTCATTTTCCAAGGAGCTAGCTCAGTTTGTTCTCCCTCTTCTGTTGTTTATTGCTCTTTGCAGTGGCTGTGGCCTCTGTGGCAGCACGCAGGTCCCAACGGGCAAAGAGAGGGCTACTCGAGCTGGCGGGTGCCATCAAATGTAGCACAGGGAGAACTGCCCTGGCTTACATGATGTACGGATGCTACTGTGGACTGGGTGGTCAGGGCTGGCCCAGAGACAGGGCGGACTGGTGAGGCGGCAGCTTTAAATCGCACTTCTCTCGAACCCGGCCCCGAAAGAAAATACATCTCATGTGTCAGAACACCAGATGATAGCGTGTGCACCAAAATGTAAACATGTTGACACTCTATATATGGCCCACCTATACATTATGTGGAGCATACTATATAATCCAGGAAGCTTTGGTGGTGTTTAGCCCTCCACTCCAGGGTTGGTATGTACACATTATTTTCCTCCTCCTGAAGGCCTTCGACTCTTTTTAGTCATGCTAGGTCCTGGTGCGTACACACAGTTTCCGCTAATGAATCGACTGAACCACAAACGCTGTGCCATGGGATGGAGGGAGGAAATGTCCAAATTCACCCGGCTCACATGGCCCAGTGGTCGATTCAAAATAGGTCCAAAAATTCCACACCCAAATCCTAATTGCCGCCTCCTTCTTCACCGCAAGGCATTGAACCCCCACAAAACCAGTAAGCTGCTAACTATCTGTTGAGAAAACCCATGTGGTGATTCTTGCCCTGCCTTTAAAATAGCAGTGGTGCAGTTTAAACCACAGCATAGTGACTTCACCCACCTACTGCTTTCTTGACCCTGTGAAGTCTAGACAGAGTTTTGACTGCTTCAGCCTTCAAAATAAAACAATCATGCTGTTGCTAATGTTTTTCTGTATTACGTTTAGGTGTTGCCACAAGCACGATTGCTGTTATGGAGATGCAGAGCAGCTGGGATGCCATACCAAAACAGACCAGTATCAGTGGACATGTGAGGACAGGACAGCTGAGTGCGGTACTGCATATTTAATTCTTATTCAACATTTTTGTGTTATGGAAAACAAAATACTTACTAGCATATCTACCTACTGATTCCCTAAATGTCTGGATGTCTGTATGTAGAATACATATCACGCAAACTGTTCATTTTATTGGTCTCACACTTCTCATGTGTATTCTTAGTGGCCCCTGGAAGTGCAGTGCTGGTTTTGGTGTGATATGGACAAATGATACATTCAGTGATACAAAACAGGCGATCAGCCCTCTGCAATGCTGTAATGAATTCAGTTTCATTAAATGAAAAACATTGACCATAAAATGTTTATGCAGATAAACCAGGTAGGATGAACAAGAAGTTTTCTAACTTCACTTTTCACCATAAACTGTCTATAAAAAGTTCTGCACACAACGTCCAGCACACAAACAACAAAAATGTTGCAGTGGGACTCACTAATGACAAGGAATAAATCTGAAGTAGCTCCGGAGCACTACCACAGGACCGGAGAACAGCCCACTCCAAACAGGCAGGTTCAGAGCAGATGCTGCGCTAGTGATTATAAATAGCAACAACCTTGATGAGGTTTACTCATTAAAACACCAGTTATAAAATCTCCCTTGTAGTTTCCTGCTCAGGCACCAAATTTCTCTGATTTAACAATTTCAAAGCAGTAATTACTGAAGTTGGAGAAGTTAAGATCTTACAAACATTAGAACAAGTGATCACAATACTTTTTTTTCTATATCCACGTGGAAACCACTAAAATTGCACGTTTACATGAAAATCCTGTTTCCAGTTTGTCACTGACTAACCCGAACCCTTTTATTGTACTTTCTCCATTACAGATGATTTGGAGGACAACTGTGAAAAGCTGCTGTGCAAATGTGACAGAGACGCTGCCAAATGTTTGAGAAAAGCACCTTTCATCCGAAAATATGCTGTGTGGCCGGATTTTATGTGCGGATACAAACAACCAATGTGTAGTATTTATTGACACAATAAACACATCTGCTCGTACTGCATTGCCTTTTGTAAATACAAAATGTTACGGTGATGACAGTGAAAACAGTCAATGGTTCTAATTTTTATTTTTTTAAACTCATTATCTGGGTTGTATTTTTAGGGATAGAACAATATATTGCCTTTTCAAGAGGCAAAACTCCTTTTTTCTGACAAACCCATGACTCTCTGGAACAGTCACAAGAATTTGGAGCTGCAGCAGATTCATGCAGATGGAAAAAAGAAGACTTGAGCATTCCTGTGCCGAGACTCAGTCAGAGCTAAGCTGAGGCTCAGATGTTAATCAGCAGGGGAAAGCTCAGGTAGCTGCTCCACAACAGTCTACTCTTATATTAATGAAATACTATATGCAGGACAGAGCCAGCCTCATAACTCTGAAGGTGCCTCCCTGTGCTCTGGCCTTGTTTTTGACTACTCCTAATTCATTAAAAAGAGTATTTGGAGATTTTTCTACTTTTTATTTACTCTTTAATTCATAAATGAAATATTGCATTAGTAGTTTTATTTTAGTAACTTAGAAAACCACTTTCTGATCACTTTTTTCTCCAACTGATTCAGACCCTATTTAAAAACTAAAGAAAAAATGTTTTTCAAAGGTATTCTGTTCCACTAATGTTTTCCAAGCATTACACAACGGTTTTGGATCATTGTGCTCAAAGAAACTTTCCAATGGAGCCTGCAGGAAAAGTTATAGTCAGTGAAAGCTATTAGGTAACTTTGTGTACTTTCACCAGGGTGTGAGATCATAAGGAAAACTCTCAAGTGCATGAGCTCAGCTTTCAATCCTGCACTTAAGCAAGCAACACGTCATATATGTGACCTTTACTTAGTGAGAAGCCTCCACAGAAAAATGGTGTCATCAAACCAGTGGGGCCTCACCTGGTTTATGATAGCATCTGTAGGATCCAGATATTACCTGTAGATGGCGCCATATTCATAATCACTAAACTAGAAGCCCACCAGCACCAGATCCAAGCAACCATGGGTGCTCCCTCAAACAATTTTTTGCTTCAAAAGAATCATTGCCAACATCAATTTCACAGCTTTTATTTATATATTTAAGTTCTGTTAAATGAGATGCCTGTTCCTTAATGTGGCGTTTAGTGTTTGACACTCGGTCAGTCACTCTATTTCGGTCACGCACAGTTGATTTTTGGGTTTGGCTTGGGAACCGCTCTCGGATCAAGTCCCTCCCTGGAGTCAAAACCTTAATTTCCCCTCTGACACCCAGTAAACACTACCGCCATCATGTCCGTAATCACAGTAAACAAAACCCTCCCAGATGTCACTGCTCCACTGAGCTTTTGCACTCCAAAGCCCCGTCTATGGGGCTCGCACAGGAAGACACAGTTTCTTTGTTGAGAGGGTACACAGCTCATGAACGCCGATTGAAACGGGAGTCAATGTTGTGGTGCAGTGTCCAAAGGCCCAGGACTGGAAATAAGTATCTGGGTCATGGCCCACAAACACTTGCTCGATTGTGTCCAACCTTCGCCTGGTATGAGCTCGGAAGTTATGGAAGTCATACGCTCTATCCACCACGAGGCAGACAGAGAAATCAATTCAGGTTATATATTTTCCTCTAACCCCTGCAAATTAGATTTTCCGCTCACCTCTCTCTGCAGTTCTTGCTGCCTTGAAGTGGTTTGTCAAGGATTCCAGCTCTGGACTTTATTGATGATCTCACTTGTCCCCAGTTGTCTTTATATACAGTGCATGTCTTGTTAGTCTTTGATATTATCTTAAGTATCTTCAGCAGACTGCACCCTCTGTCTGCCACTGTTGACTTAAAGATTGTGAAAGTTCACTTTAAGCCGGAAGAGCTATGGCCAGGGACAAGTAGGTGTGACACAGGTCAATCAGGGAAGCCAAAACCAGGCATACAACAATAAAACACCCGACAACAAAGACATGTGAAATTAATACAAAGAGTCTAAAAAAAAAGCACAAAGTGAGATGCAAAGCAAACAAAGATAAAAGACACAGCAAACTCCAGTGTAATATGTTGTGTAATGCTATTAATACACATAGCTATTTATAAATATTATTTCATATTAATAATAGCTTAAATTTGGCTTCCTGCTTTTATTCTCAGCAATGAAGTGTGTTATGAACACCAGCATTTTCCATGTCCCCTGTTTTTTAATGGTGATGAATGGTGTAATTTGTTTTCCAGTTTCTTAGCGATGACCAAGGTGATTATATAATTTTCATCCTGACATGTTGCCATGTGAAACCCCCAGTGGTACTTCGACACCGGCTGCAGCTGACACATAAAACCCAGTTTAAATGACTCGGCCGACCTCGGTGCGGCTCTGTTGAAGACGTCCTGTGTTTTGAAGGAGGGCTGGTTGTCTTTCCTACATATGCACAACAGCGTGGTTGTCACGGTGAATGAGCGCATTCTTTAATCCCTGCTGTTTGAGCTGATGAAACCTGTTCCACACTAATTGCGTTCTTTAATCAACCATTTGGCTCCTCAGTGAAGAGGCAGATGGCCAACAATGATGTTTTGGTTTAAATTGGAAGAGGCATAAAGATCTTTTTAAACATGCTCATACATAGGTACAGTCCATGTATTTTTGTCATTTGTAAATAACAAGCAACACATTTAGAGTGGAACACATGGTTTGAATGGCTTGTAATCCCTTGAATCCATTGTTATTCTCCTTAGAGTTCCGAATGCTGCTGCCCACACAGAAGGAAATCAGTGTGTGTGCAGCCCATGATGGGCCTGGACCTGCTGCCCATACACTACATGTTACAGACCCTGTTTTCTTCCTCCTCCAATTGGACTCTGTCCTCTTTATGTTTACTCTTTGGACACTCTTCTCACTCTCACACTCTCTTCAGGACTAAACATGGGATAAATGTTTTATCAACTTTTATTAATGATATGACTTTGTCTTTCTTCAGCTGACGAAGAAGGGAAGAGCAACACTGTAGTCTGTGCAAAATCTGCTCACAAACTCAGCAGCTCATACACAAAGTTCTCAAAGTCAAAGCTGTTATCTTCAGCATGATGTGGGCAATATTTATCATTACCTGAGGTTTCCACCAGGGGGCTGCATTATAACAGTACTTTATGCCTTGAGGGACTGGAGACAAGTAATGACTGCAGTGCAGTGTGTGTTGTATTTGTTTTTATTGTTCAAATTAATTCCATCAATCCATCAAAATAAGGGGAATATGACAACAAACATGAAGCATCTTAACTTTTCCCTTCCTGGTTGGTTAGTTTCCATTTTCCGGGAATACGTTGTTTCCCCACAGCACCTCGGTTCATAATCAGACAGACAACTCTGATTCTATAACCTTATTCTCCAAGCCTGTACCACATGGCCTCACCGGTGTGAAAAGTGTGGTAAAAGTAAGATCTTTAAAACTCAAAGAATGACACTGTTGCTGTATCTGGAATTTAGACAGCAGGTGTCAAAAGTCGAAACTATTTAGAAGGCGACTGATAATTACTTTCCTATTCCTGTTGGAGGAAACGTTATATGACGCACTGGTTTCCACTAAAGTGAGATTATACTTAAGTTGGTGTTGTATACCTTTAAAGTGCAATCTTTCATTTTACATGGCTCCAGAATTGAAGACATTTTGCTTCTTTTCTCTTTGTGTCTATCGTGACATTTATTTAAAGCTCAATAGCACAAATCCCCATAAACTAATAAACAATAAGCACCTATATTATAATTATATTTTAACATTTTCTTGGATTACGGGGTCAATAAAAATTAAAAAAATCACCCAGGATACAATGGAAATAAGATGCTGGCACTACAGTGGCTGATGTCAGTCATAATGGCCTTGGTTACATGCTACAAACAAGAGCCTATCTTTATTGCTGATGTGAAATATACTGGTCTAAGTGGGAGCAGATTCCACACAAAGAACCTGCTCTACACCTCCCTCACAATATGAAATGATCGTTTCCAGCAGCATACATATAGATTTGATTGTAGCTGTGGATGTTGCTGATGAAGATTTTTTATCTTTTTTTTTTGCAAACCACTGCAGCAGCATCCAGTTGTTTGTTTCCTTTCACCATGAATCGTTTTAGAAACGAAATATAATGATACACTGCCGCATGAACCAGATCATGAATCATTGATGCTGCAACATAGAGTGTTGCCAAGGAAACTGTACCAGTCTGCTTGATCACTGTCAGCTGAGTTCGCATAATTATGGTGTGATGTGAAAAACATTGCACAGTAACAATTGTGTTTCCTGAAATATTTTCAAAGCCGATTTAGAAGAAAAGCAACCGTCAATGACTGTAAATCTGAAACATTTAGCTGATCACTGTCCTTCTGTGATTTATGTCAAGTTGCTGTTTCTGGACTATATTTCCTTTTGTTTCATTCTTCTTACATTAACGTCTTTCTGCTGTAGTAAGTCTGGGCCTTTTTCCACTTGATTTAAAAGAGGCCAACATCTATTTCATTCTTATTAAGGACTGCTCATATTAATATTACAGAACCATGTCTAATGTCCTTTAAGAAGACACATGTGCAATGACATGGACACATACATACACACAGACATGACTGCATGTATTTACCGGACAGTGAATGTGATTATGACAAGTCCTCCTTTTCCTGCCTAGAAGGAAGTGATTAGTGGTGTGTCAGGAAATGCAGTGACACTGTATATTGATTGTGTTTGGATTCTTCTTTTTTTTTCTTTCAAATTTATCCCTGGCATTTCATCCATTCACACCTTATTTTTAGGAACCTTGAATATTTCTGTGTTCTACTTAGTTTTGTCTTGAATTTGAGAATCACTGATACTAGTGACCTATATATCCCACAGTATATTTGTAGAGATTGTTATGAAATAAATATTATACTGATTCATATGAACCTTTTACCCCTTAACAATGAACCCACTTAAAATTAAATACAAATAAATTTTACCTTACTGCTCTACTTTTCCACTAATTCAATATGCAGGCCTCTCTGTGAAACATGAGTTGTTGCTATTCTGTGTTAATTTCACATCGATCAGAAAGAGAGTATCCAAACATGACCATGCAAAGTTTTCATGTAAGATATTCTGTTAGTGTGTATTATGCCTTGTTTGTAATAGTATCTTATATTGTACTACATGGTAAAGCAGTGTTATTGTAGTGGACCTGATCACAGACAGTAGGATGCATCTTCTCCATTAGAAAGGCTCACAAAAGGCACGGACGGGGTTCGAACCCGCGATCTTCGGTTTACGAGACCGACGCCTTACCACTTGGCCACCGCGCCTGCGCTGTGCCACATTTTATGATCTAATTTAAAGGTACAGCTATATTCAAGCTCTGCGGATATATAACAGCGGGGGTTTTGGCTCGGTATTGTTTCACACCTTCTGTCAAAGATCAACTTCCTCCTCCAGAGCGAACACGAGCCCCGGAAGCTGCCGAGTTTAACCACCTGAACACATATGTTGTTGTACTATGGACACAAGGGGACGCTGTTATCTACCGCGTGAGAGCAACTTGTCCGGAACAGACAAAAAGAATGTCAGAGAAGGTGAGGACCTGCCTCACTGTGGATCATCCCCTCTCTATACAGCCTGTGATCATTGCACACGGTCAGCTCTTCAGTGTTCTACAGGGTCATGGAGCTTTAAATATTTAAAGTTTGATGAGATCGTTTCAGAGACGCGTTGGTTCAACTTCCGGAGGATGCAGTGTGTGTTGCTGCATTACACAGATGTGTTTGTGTTCTGTAGCCTGCCCTCAGTGACGTGATGGCTGCTCAAAGGCTGGAAGGAGAATCCACGTGTCCCTTTAAAGAGCCTCATAATCTGATAGAAACTTCACTTTCAGACCATAGTGTTTAGATAGGGGACACATGGTGGGGACATTAACTCACATTAATATGTCCCTCATGGGTGTGGAAGACATCTGGGCGTAGGTGACTACATACTTGAGAAGACTGTATAAAGATGGACGATGCATCTCCACTTCCTCCCACTCTGCAGAAATGAAGCCAACATATCCTGCATGATTGATGCACTTATTGTAAGTCACTTTGGATAAATGAAATGTAATATAATGTAATGCATACCAAGTCAGCCTCAGCTATTTTGACTTTTTAGTTTGTTCCATGTCCCACCCACTAGCATGGAAGATGTAGCCTTTTTTACCCATACTGCAGTCAGCCACCAGGTGGCGATCAAGGATGTCATGGCCTAACAATATCTATATTTACATGGACACCATTATTCTGAGTATTGACCTTATTCTGAATAAGATTTTATAACAATTATGGTGTTTACATGAGTTGCTAATAGAATATTCCATTAATATTCCAGTTTACATGGTACAGAGCGTAGCCTGATTACGACTCATGCTATTACTTCCACTCTACCATTACATCTGATGCTATTCACCAGTTTTAAAACCTCCACCTGAAATAGTTTAACATACGAAGCTAAGAAACTCCTTTACATTTTTCAATCTTGTGTCAATCTTGTGTGGGCATGTGTCATCAAGCAGTTGGTATCTGCTGTATGTGGATGTCATGAAGTGCAGTGAAGACTGCAATAGGACATGATAATACGTTGAAACATATCTAATTAATTTATCCAAACATGTCTTAGTTGGATTATTGCTTATTCCGAGTATGAGCCTATTCGAGTTAAGGTAAATAGAAAAGGCAGTTTACATGGCAGCGTTTTATTCAGACTATTTTCTTATTTGGGTTTATATCGGAATATTGGTGTCCATAGCAACGCAGTCAATTTCAGGTGTGGTCTAGTCACCAAAACATGGGGAGTCTTCTGGGGACCATGAATATCCAAACAAAGTTTGATGGCAAACTGCACAGTCGGGAAATATTTTGTTCCATATCAGAGCAGAACAGACTGAGATTGAACTTGCATAGCTAATAACTATGAGAACCAGTGGGCTGGCTGTGATTCTTTTCTCAGCAATACAATATGCATGAAGCCAGACTGCAGCTTTTCACTGTCTTTCTTTTCCAAACATCAAAGATGAATGACTGCCAGAGGGGCTTTATTTTTTCTGTCTTTCTTTCTTATTCTTTTCTTTTTTTTGTGTGTGGATCAGATAACCCAGAGGCTGTTTGAAAAATGAATAAGACTCATTTCCATTGGGAATGAGTTAGCAGTGGAAATCACAGATGTGGGATATTCACCTTGACCTGCTTAGTGCACATTTTCAGCGCATGGATAAAGAAGCAGAGACTCTTATAAAGCACATAGGAAGATTTAATTTAGACCTCCTGGAAATGCGGAAATATCACTTAAGTAAAATAAAACAAGCCACAATTTAAAATGATAAGTGAGGTATAATGCTGATTGCTGATGCTAATACATGAACATTAATGAAAAAGATGAATGAAAAAAAAAGATAAATGCTACATCTCAAAGTTGAGGGAGCAGAAGGAATTAGATTCCGATTGATTTATAGTTTTAGCAGCAATATTGGTATCTGCGTTTATGTTGACATTTTATGTAGAAAATCATTATTTTCTTATATTATATTGTATTTATGTATTTTGTAATTATGCCTGAAGTTTATGGTTAAACTGTAAATGATCAAGCCCCAATAGCATTTCTTTGTCATGAGAATTTGAAAACGACATCTTAGGAATCATTGCAAATTGATAATTATTATTTTGAATATATATATATATATTGGAAATGTTTTAATAGCGGGGTCTGCGGTAAACCGAACATAACATCTATTTCTTCTATTCAGGAATAAATTGATGGCATAGAAGTGTGTTGGCAACATTGTGCTTCACTGTAGATGGATGAGTTTAATACTTGCACAATGGAATCCTCAATAAATGGACTAACTGCTGGAGGAAGACAATCAGACTTTAGGTAAAACATTAGAGATGCAGCTTAATCATCATCATGTTCATCATCACATCAGCCTTTAATAAAAGCATATTACAATGTATATATGTTTTCCTCTCTTATTTTAATGAGAATATCCATGCAGCTAAACTCTATCGAGCAGAATGCAGCTCTTCTAATGTCTTAAAAGCAAAGTATCTACAACAATAAAACAGGATAAGAATCTTTAAGTTAACCCATCAGACTTTAGATAACTGGAGTTACTTATAGTTTTCCATTTTTATTCTTCAGCAGCTTCGTTATTAAACCATAAACCTCACAGATACAGTATGTTTCAGTCTGAGATCACATGGATCTGGGGTATTTTTTGTTCATGTCTGGAACACCAAGCTCCTCACTCCCCGAGAGAATAAGAGGTTTTACTGTAGCGACCTATTTAATTATTTATTGTTGTACTGTTTTTAAAAATATATCTTATTTTGGTGTGCTTGTGCAGGAATCCTCATGCCTGTGAGAATATACTGTAAATGTATAATTTTTTTCAAAATTTTTTCTATTATGTAAACAAGAGTGATATGACTAAATCTGTCCAGCAAAATGATGGACTGTACTAATCTGGTAAATGGTTGATTTTACTTGTCTGGTTACTTACCAAGTAGATAATGTTTTCACCCCTCTCAGTTTCTTGGTTGGTTGTGTGTGTGTTTGTTTGGAAGAAAGATTAAATGAAACCGTCTTTAAGGATGATCCCATTCAATTTTTGGTGTGAATCCAGATCAGAGGGCAGATCCAGGATTTCTCAACATTTTCGGTCTCTTGTTGGAAAAGCAGAGCAAAATAATAATCTCTTTGACATCTGACTGTTTATCCAATGATGTCACTCCTGCTAGTCTATAGCAACTTTTTCAAGCTCATCAGTAAATAGTTTTTTACATTCACTCCATAATGCATGTTTGATGCAGACGACCGACAAGTTAAACCCTGTAAATAAACTGTGCTTGAATGCATCTCTGTAAAGGCAAATTCAACTGGCAGCCAACTGCGCCGCTCTGTGCTGGTGGAGTGTGAGGGGAGAATTGTGTCATTGTGAGAAGGCTGTGCTGGATCTGACCCTGACCACGACGAGACGTGCAAGTGTGAAATCCATCTGAAAGGTGAGCAGCTGACGAAGCTACAGAACAAAAGCAATATCATCTCTCCCCCTCTCTCCATAATGTCTTTTCATCCTTCTCTCTCTTTCACTGGGCTGTTTTCACATCGTCATACAATAGAAGTTTCACTAAAACATAATTTAGTGATTTAGTTTATTTAAACAACTTTTGGACTGAATATCTACAAATTCTTTGTTGGATTTAGCCCAATGTAAATCTTTCCCTGTTTCTTAATGTAATGTGTATGAAGCAATTAGGTGCACATCACTCATGCCTGTTGGGTATGTTACCATAGCTACGATACGCTTGTGCACACAATCATCTGGTCCCCGTTTCCTCCAATAGGGTCGCACGGCTGGAGCTGCAATATAAAGTAAAGATGCTCATCTTTCAGCAACACACTCCTAAGAATCTGAAACTGGTGCATGAGTATGAAAAAGTCTCACACAGTGGCAGGCGGGGGACTGCGCCCAGTCATGGCGGACCACAGAAACAAGATCCGACGAGACACACAGCAGGAGAGGAAGGTGAGAGCATCTACCATCTTGAAACGTAACCCGTCTTATTGTTCGTTGAGAGAGTTGGGCGGAACAAAAACTGTGACAGTAAACAAGATACGCCTTCACATTGAGGGCTTTGAATGCTAACAGAGACCAGGAGCAACAAAAAGGAAGTGTCACTTTAAATGAAATGCATCAGTCGGATCAAAGAAGACGGAGTATGTTTATACTTATACATGTACTCCGATGCTGCTTAGGTCAACTATAGTTTTGTTTAGTAGAATATAAAGAATTCCGGACGTCCAAGGTGGTTTTATTTATGCTACATATGATAGTGTAGCTGGCAATTACAATAAAACACAAAAATAGTTATTGACAGTTATATAGTAATTGTAAATAAATGAACAAAAAAGACAGTATTCATACAGATGTGGCCTCAATCAAAGAGAGCTCCAAATCCATCAGTCAGAACATCTGAGGAAAAGTTGCGTTCAGGGACGATCACGGAGGAGCTTTGAGGCCAGGCTTGTTGAAATCAAAGCCCTGCAAGCTGAAATTATCATTATAATTATGCTGACTGAGTGACAGGACAGGTAAGGAAGAAATCTGCTTTATAACTTCATCCTTTTGTCACTCTGCCTTTAAAAATGACTCAAATAATTATTATTATAATTTTTTTTTTTTGCGGGCTACCCATATCGCTTTGTGAGAAATAAATGTGGCCAGTTAATCTCCGGCGTGCAAAAGGACAACAGCCAATGCAGCATGTTCAAGCTGCCCCCCTGCTGGGCGGCCCATGAGCCTGTCGATATGGTGGTTTGATGTTGGATGGAAAATAAGAACCCCCCACAACAAACAGAGAGGGCTGGAACAGAGAGACTGGAACAGAGAAAGAGAGGGCAGAAAGGGAAGAACCATCGACAGATGGACTCCGCTGTGATTAAAGATGGCGGCAGTCTTGACTGCAGACTGCAAAGGACTATGCACGATCCATAGAAAAACGCTGGGAGTAGTCTGCGATTCTGCACAACAAAACAAAGATGCACCCAAGTGAGGTTAACCAGCAGGTACGTCTGCTTTTCAATCTCTGAGGATGAAAACCACGGTTACCAGTAACTTCCCATTGTGTTGTTTATCGTTCTATTATGTGTCTGATCGTCTCTCGTGTCAGTGCCACGCTGGTTTTGTTGTCCCTCTCATCAAAACCAAAGCACATCATTTGATTTGACCAGCGAATGTTCATCCCATGACCAGACTACTGAAGACCCCCGATAGACTGAACGATTACATCTATTTGAATTTCTTCAAGCCGGCAGCTGTCTGACAATGTACTTTCACCATTTGATACGTTTTTTCAGATGTATGTCTTTGGTATTATGTCACCGTAGGAAATATGGGCCTTAATAAGATTTTTTCCCGTCCAGCGGGAGTGTGGTCGCTGCAGGAGCTGGAATACCCAGCAAAATAAACTCAAATCTGCAAATTGCTCAATCCTCTGTGCCTAATCCAGTCCAAGCCTTGTTAGTCATGATATATTCAGCCAGGACAAAGGACATCAGCAGGACTCCAGAATACATTCTCCAAAGCTTGTTTGATATGACTCATTTTTAGAACTTAAAATAAACATTCATTAGCTTTTATATTCCCATCACACTTTTATTAAAACCCTCTATAAATGTGTATGTTTTCCATTTCTTGTTTTGACGGGTTTAAAAGATGTCTTGTTTGTTGTTGTTGCTTTTGTTCGTCTTAACTTTCGATGAATTCTTTTGAAGACAGCCAATTCGAAAACATTTGAAATGTCTATTGTGTGGGCTCAAAATGGGAGCATTCATTTTAAAACAAGTGCTAATGGGCTTTTGTCCATCAGAGAGTCTTCAGCAGAGATAAGCCTATTTCAGCCAAGGCCCTACAAGGGAATCTAAATCCACACTGACAGGTGGAACAAAAGAGGAACGTAAGGACTGAATTGGGGAACATTAAGAAAATATTACAAAACTTAAGAATATTTGTTTAATTGTTGCTTTAAAGTCATCCAACATGTGTAAGTTCATCCTCCTTCAGGGGCCATGGTTGTAATAACTCAGAAAAACACAAAATGGTGAATTATTCGAAATGATGGGTGAAAACAGAGGAATTGACAATAAAATGTCAATTCTCTCAGTGAAGGATTTACAGCTATTTCTTCAACTGTTTCATGACAGAAAGCAGATTGTGCACAGTCTCGGCTGATTTCATAAATAACCACCTCTGGTTCATACAGTTCCACCTCAGAGCTTAACAGTGAAATGTCTTCCATTGTTCCTCCGTCTCTCGAGCAGCTCCACCGGGCCAGTTGCTCCAGGCCTTCTTGTTTGTACTTGCTGAGGAAGGGGAGAAAATCTTTCGTTCACTCTCCACACTCAGACGTTTGAAGCTGTTGGAGAGATTCAGTTTACCAACCTCCTGGTCACAGCACTTCTTGCTCTCACATTACTGAATTCTTAACCTGCGCAAACCTAGAAAATACTGTTACTTTTCCTGCTCTTTACATCAAACTCAACATATTTTCACATTTCTTTCTTCCAGGAACAAATGGATGGCAAAGACAAACTTTTATGGCAACATTCTGCTTTGGCTGTACATTTTCATTTCATTGAGATGACGGGGATGTTACCGTTATTGCAGACCCATGGGTTTAATAACTGCACAATGGAATCCTCAATAAATGGACGAACTGCTGGAGGATGCATGAGGAAGACAATCAAATTTAAGGTAAAACCTGTTGGTCTTATGTTATTAAAAATAAAATGCTGTTAACACAAATAAGACATAAGTTGATTTGCCTGTAAATCTTTAACATCGTCATGTGAGCCATTTATGAACACACACGGACATTTATATACACAATATTTCAGGTTTTCAGGATTTATTAAAGAAAATCCCTTTTCAGATCATCTTTAATTCAGTCAAGTGAAAGGCAGTGGCTCCTTCGTCATGACTTGCTGCAGTGGAACTGATCTATTGATAGTATTATCATTATAATAAGAATTGGTTACATTGTCACTTGACATTATTGCAGCGATGTCATCGTACCTGCTTTTTTTTCTTGACTATTAAGGAGGCTGGTTTTGCACAGTTTAAGATATACACAAATGTGAGCAACATTGAGTTGACTTGAAAACTGTGAACTGATGAGCATGTTGGTGACTGACAGAAAGCATCAGTTAGTTATCATTAGTTTTAGATTATTAACAGTTAAACATTTCTCAAAAGTCTTGATCGCCCCCTAGTGGCTGGCTGCAGTGCAGGTAATAAGCCCCACCTCCTCCATGTTAGTGGATGAGATGTGGGCCAAAGTACAAAGTTGACATTTTGATCACCCTGATTTATGTTCAAGTGTTCATGTTTGTGATAAATTTGATTTTAATATTTAATGCTGTAAAGATTGGGTGGAAAGTCATGATTGACAGCTGAGACTGACTGATTGGTCGAGCTTGTGTCTTTGTGGGACCTTGTGGCTCCACTCCATGATCACTACTGTGCAGACTCTGCCTCCAAAAGATTGGCTTCATTTTTTGTACTGTGTGAGGAAGTGGAGACTTGTTGTCCTATATATATATATATATATAATATAGTCCATAGATACAAAGAAAATTGTAGAAATTTGCAATTTTCAAGCAATAAAGGTGATACAGTGCGATTCGTTTTTCCGACCAACAGTCCAAAACACAAAGATATTCTATTTACATCATCCATGATAAAGTAAACAAGAAAATATTCACATCCAAGAGGCTCGTACGAGAGAACCTTAACATTTTATACTTCTCAAAATGATTAATTGCTAATCAAATGAGGCGTAAATCGATCAACTGTTGCAGTGTCTAGTTACTTGTACGGCTATGATAGAACACTGTCTGTGAAGGAATCAGTGTCGTGACTGGAGGTCGATGTGACATGCCGTGAAGGCGGACACATCATCTGCCCGAGGCTCTGAATCACTGTCAAGATTTCCTAGTGGAGGAAATGCTGACCTTTGACATTTTGCAGCAGATCACTGAAATGTGATATAAACAATAACTGAAATACAGCCAATGGATGGAGAAAATGATAGATGTTAGAAGAGTATTTGAGTATCAGGATGTTTAAATTGTTGCTGCCCAAAACCGAGGAAGCTGGAGTGTGCTGTGGCTTTTTCATCTTTTGTGTCACTGGTGTGAACATTGTAAGCGCTGTGTACTTTTCACACTTTAACAGGTTTTGTAGATGTGAGCAGGCAGTTCCGGTGATGTGGTGTGACGGAGTGTGAAATGTATATCCCTGTTCATTCTAGTGATCCTAAATGGTTTTGGTGTGATTACATAATCAAACGCGTACATGGTTGTGATGATGTTCCACTGGCCTTTCATCTTCGACTCAGTAGAACCGTGTGACCGCTCAGTGATTGTCTGGTACAGACATTATTGCTGTGTTTGGTCCGTCTCTTAGTCTTTGTATTGTAAATTTAAGTAATGACACGTCAAGTGTGTGTAATGGTGAGACAATCATCAGTTGAACTGAAACATTGCTGCAATAGATGTCTTGCTTTAAAGCATCACTACTTGTAGGTTTAACCTATAAAGGCTGCGTGCCTCAATTTGTGACTTATTCTCAACCAGAAAATAAGGATTTAATGTGTTTCTAAATGTGTGATGGCAATGCAGTGTTTATTCAGTAGAGATGTGTCACTCCTTAACTGGATTTCTACAATAGATTTATTAGTTTTATTCATCAACACACCATGACATGAAGAGAAATAGCTCAGTAAAGTATTTATGGAACAATTGGAAGCTACGTTAAATGCGTACACTCTAAGCTTTTGTTTGAGACATGTAAATAGGACACATAATTATGTAAAATTATGTCTTAAAAAAACAATACAAGATGTTTATTTAAGAAAGTAGACGAAAAAAGTAGCTGGCTACAGTACAGGTCATAAACCCTGCCTCCTCCATTTTAGCAGATGGGAATTGGACTAAACTAAAAGGTCAAGGTTGGTTTCCTTTATTTTAGGTTCTTACCAATTATGTTCAAGTGTTTCTGATTCAATTGGCTTTAATTAGTTATTTGACGCTATAAAACGGGGTCATGTCATGATGGACAGCTGAGACTGGCTGAGCCCATGGGACCTTGAGACCGTGGTGCCACACTATAGCCATCTTTATTTACAGTAGATTTACTGTTAACCTGGCGTGCTGCTGGCCAGTTTTCCATTAGTCTGTTCTTGTGCCATGCTCAGATGATTCAGTTGATCAAAGCACTGCCGGCCCATATGAAGTAATCAGTGGAGCCATCTACTGCAGTCTGTGGTTGGACTGAAAAAATGCCTTTAAAGCACATTGTTGTCTAACCTGCTCTTGCAGGTCAACAGTCAAATGTGAAATTTCTACTTTCTATGCTTCATGCACAGACTGGAAAGCAGCATTTACATCAGCATTGATGTCATCAAGGTGTTGCCAATTTAAATAATTCTCACGACTGGGTAGTCCCATGTATTAAAAAAAGCTCTTTTTATTAACTGGTCAATATGTATTACATATAAAATACTGACATGTAGCCATAGATGTCAAATACATGTGGTGGAGTAGAAAGTATGATATTTCCTTCTTTAACGATATACATCACAGCACATACACAATAGACTAGACCTACAAGTATGCCTATAGTTAATTATATTTTAGGGCCTGACTGATAAGGATTTTTGGGGCTGATGACGATACCGATATGTTACTAAGATGTCATTATCAAACCCTAATGGCAAGAAATATAGCTAATAATTTATATGTTATAGTTTAACCATAAACATTATCATCATCATCACTACGAATAAAAAGCAAACACCAATACAACTAAATAAATAAAACATAAATCAAACCAGATTTCTTAATTTTAACCTAACATCTAAACATTAAGGCACATTTTTTTGGCATTGGTTACGTGACGGGTTAGGGCTAGCTCTCAATCATAACGTTTCACCCCACTTTTTTATGCATTGAAACTAAGCTTAATGGAACACTTATCTCTTGACTATACATCAATATGACCTCCCTAAATTAACAGACATCACATTTGAGAAATTATACTATGTCTACTCTGACCTTTTTAGTCTGATCCGTGTCCTGTCCACTGACATGGAGGGGGCAGGATTTTTTGACTGATACTGCAGCCGGACTATTTGACATGTTCATCTGCATATAAAGAGGTATTGAGATTGATGTTTAAAAAGTGATCATTTCTTGAAAAGGTCCTTGCTTTTAATAATTCATAATAATAACAATCAAAATGTCACCCCCTTGTACAATAGTCTTTAGGGTTTGTGCTATTTGAATTAAGAATTTTTATTTTTATTTAAAAAAACACTGAAGGGGATAGCGACCTCTTTTTCAAGATATGTATCACCTGAGAAAGACAGAAGAAGAATCAATGTACCACATGAACCCGAGACTAATCGGTGGTAATGTGTGTAGTGAACGCTTGGGGCGCTGTGCATGTTCTGTGGTGCAGCCTCAGCTCCGCGCACAGATAGAGAGAGCTAGAGGGAGGGAGGGAGGGAGAGAGAGAGAGAGAGAGAGAGAGACAGCCATGGAGAGGTGGAGAGCGGACTGTTGTCTTTGTTATTTTTAAAGTCCTGCTCTTCGCAGCGGTGTCACTGCCGGCGGGGACTTGTCCCGGTCCAAATACCCGATGCACTCGAAAGCAGCGAGAAGATTTTCACCGGTGAAGTATATGTGACTTTTTCTTCCTCTCCTCCTCCTCCTCCTCCTCCCGGTGCTCTCAGCTCAGAGCTCAGGCACCGGGATTGCGGTGTAGTCGGGAGATAGAAGCGGCAAAGCGATGGCTCACTAAGTGTTTGCGGGCTTTTGATGCGGGATTTCCCTGCGTGTCCTCTGACGGCGTTGAGGACAAGCAGTCCCGGCGGCTCGCCGTGTCGTTGAGCGGCTGTTAGCGGGCACAGCGCGTTCATTAGCGGGGGACTAGTGAGACAAAGTTGTGCACTTGTCGGTGGGCTAACAGGCCTGTCCCCCTCTCTCTGTGTCCGTGTGTGTGTGTGTGTGTACGGAGTTAGTTTGTGCCTCCCTTCCCCCACTCGCCGCTGCTGCCGGAGAGGCCAAGACATGGCTGTGATGGGCTTCACCTCAAAATACAACGAGCCGCTTCACTTCTCGGTAAAAACAAAGACCGGGACATTTCCCTGGCTGTTCCCCTGAGCCGCTCCGCATATTCATACGCGCACACACACCTGTGACCGCACAACCGGGAATTTAAATATGCATGCGCTAACCGTGCATGTGTCGTGCCGGTGCATCGTTACGTGCAGGTAACGTGGAGCCAGTTTTTATTTTTGAATTCCCTGAGCGTTTAAACACCGCCATTGTTTGACACGAGACGTGCTCGTGGTCACACTGTCTTTTATGTTTCAGTTAAGCACAGTGCACGTGCTGCTCACGCTTACGGATTGCGCAGAGAATAACACTGTTGGCAGTTTTTGTCTGTGCTGTCTTCGTTCAGTCAGGGTAACGATGAGTGTGTGTGTGTGTTTGTGTGTGTGTGTTTGTGTGTTGGACAAGACAGGGAGTGGGTGTGCCCTAAAGGGAATGTGATGGCAACCATTAAAAAAGAGATTATTTCCAGTGAAATCACAGATGGAGTAAAGACAGCTGTCAGACCCCCCTATTTTTGCTCATTGAAATCATGAACCCATTTTTTTTTCTCCATCCCCAAACCATTAGCATCAACTGTGCACAGAGCTGTGAATGAGGATGTAATTCAGATTCCAAGGTGAAATCAGGGCATGTCTTTTTCTTCTTCTTTTAATTGGCCCTTTAGTCGTCCATGTTTTAGTTTTGATTGGTCAGAGCCTATACCAGTCACCACAATTGTGTCCTGTCAGCTGTCAAGGCGTCTCAAATGGAAATGTGTTACCCTCTATTACATTTACATTGCACAATTACCAGCAACATTATATCCTTACATGCATGTCGCCTGTGTACAGTCCATAGAGGTGCATATTTGGGCACTACTGTGTCCTTCCTCAGCAAGAAAGCTCAGGGACAATGTGTCCTTGAACTAGACACTCAATCCCTAAAATCCTTACATGTACTATTCTGCTGCCGCCCTTTCTCTACAACAGGAAGGGAGTATAACAAGTATAGAATACTACACAAGGATCAATAAAGTACATTTTGCAGTTCTGATTCTATTGTTTAAAAATAGAGACACTAATCCTGCTTTATTATTGAGTTAATAAACCTCAGGAGTATTGAGGTTGTACTGTGGTGATACACTACTACTAATCTGGATGTAACTGGAGTAGCTATGTAAAGTAATGATATGCTTATGCATATAAATCAGTGTGATGTTACTGGGTGCTACATGAACACTGCACCATATTCGTCCTACAGTAGAAAGATGCCTCTAGACTATCAAACCACATTAAAAGCCTGATGACTTCACTTTCTAATTTCTGCTCAGGTTTGCAGATGCTCTGCAGAATCTATGGCCAGAGACCAAGTGCATGGACATCTTTTTCAGTTTAAATTATGAGAATCAAATAACACTTTCCTAATATTGGAGTGTAAACACAGTCTGCCGTAGGGAAGTGTGTCAGTACCAGAAGCTACTGTCTGGTTTTAAAGCTTCATAGTAGCTTTTTCAAATCCTCTGGATTTCTGCAGAATTTGCATTAATTTTAACGTTCAGCTGGAAATTGGCCACATGATGAGTTTTTCATGGAAATCTGATGAAAATGCAAACCGTGCAGGATTTAAAAAAAATTCCCGACAGGATATTAGTTCTTCTTTAACCGGGGGTATGGCACATAATCGATAAACATTTGTCAACTCTAGATGTTCATTTGAATTACACTTGGTATCAGTAAATTGCTGCATGAACTTTCTTGAGAATGAGTATTAAAATATATTTTAAAAGCATTCCCCTGCCTTTCAGTGATGTGATAAAGCTGCCACTCATAATGTATTTCCCCTCCTTGCAGGATTTGTTTTGCAGAGGCATATGTAGAGGTCTGGATCTAATAGTTGTGCAGTGTGGGCTCCACGGAGACGTGGCTTATGGATGCTGGAACTATGAGTGTAAGCGACAAAAGGAGCTACTTAGCGGACCTGGGGGGAGGCTTCACTGAGGATGCTCCCAGGCCTCCAGTCCCAGGGGAGGAAGGTGAGCTTGTGTGCAGTGACGGACGCCAATGCAGCAACCTAGGCTTCTCCTTAAAGAATGAGAGCCTCAAATGTGAGGCATCTGTGGCTACACCCAGACGACCCGACTTGGACCTGGGTTATGAGCCGGAGGGCAGTGCCTCTCCGACACCACCCTACCTAAAGTGGGCAGAATCTCTTCACTCCCTCCTGGATGACCAGGATGGCATCCAATTGTTTAGGATGTTTCTCAAGCAGGAGGAATGCGCAGATATGCTGGACTTCTGGTTTGCATGCAGTGGTTTTCGCAAACAAGAAGCTAATGAGGGTAACGAAGAGAAGAAGCTGAAACTGGCAAAAGCTATCTATAAGAAATTTGTCTTGGACAACAATGGGATTGTTTCCAGGCAGATCAAACCAGCCACCAAGTCCTTCATTAAAGACTGTGTGATGAAGCTTCATATTGATCCAGCAATGTTTGACCAGGCTCAGACTGAGATACAGACTATCATGGAGGACAACACCTACCCTTTATTCCTCAAGTCTGACATTTATTTGGAATATACAAGGACAGGAGGAGAGAGCCCTAAGCTGTACAGTGATCAGAGCTCTGTTTCTGGTAATGGGAAAGGACTGTCGGGTTATTTGCCGACTTTAAATGAAGATGAGGAATGGAGATGTGACCATGAGACAGAGGAGCAGCCCGAGAGTGACCCCACGCCAAGCAACCGGCTTACCCAGAAGCTGCTAATGGAGACAGTACCGCAGCGAGTTGCCAACATTGCAAGATTCCAGGACAGTCACGAGTACAGGTAAATCTTCCAGCAATCTAGAAAGCTTCACATCAGTTCTATCTGCACAGCTTTTCTCCGCAAAGTGCTGAATTAGAAATAAACCTGAAACCCCACACCACCCCATACACTGCCTCAAGTTTGAAAAGATGAGAGTCAGAGAGAAGCACAGGAGACAGCTCAGATGAGAGGAAGATGGTGTGGGGAGTTGAGTCTAAGTTAACTTGCTATTGGAAAGTTGAAGAAGTCTTCTTTGTATTTTCTTGTGCAGGTACTCTGGGAAATAGGTTTTCCCATTGGATAAGGTTCTGAAGTGAAAACACTATATTGTTTGAAGAGGAGCTTTTACAAAAATCACTGTAAGCTTTGTCCTCTTCAACCTCTTAATATTTAGTCTGCATTACTGGAAAATAATATTTTTCTGTAATAAAATGATCAGCTCTCAATCTTGTTTAGGGTTATGACTAGTCATACCCACGTTTATTGATCTGATTTAATAATTCTGGATTTTGAAGCCACATTATAACATTGCTTCAGAATCAATATGGAAGTTTTTCTTAAATCACTTACTCACTTACTGGTGCTTTGGACTTTGGTGTAGAGTATTTGTTGACTATGTTTGCGCAATAACATTTCATCTTTGGCATCTATGCTTTCAAACACCTTTCATTACAGCTGGACTATTTGTATGAGTTTATTGTAATTTGTGGTGTTTTCTGTCTCCTCTAATTTCAGGTAGTTTAAATCCAATTTGGAGTAAACGTGGCAAATTTGTAGCGGTTGGTTGAGGACCTGCACTATTGATTTGTATTCATATCTGTCAAGGTCAAGGTCAGAGCATGGGGTTCAGCCTAATGCTAATGCATGGGAAATACTTTGAAAGCACATATACAATTGGAATGGTCTTACATTCTGTTGCAGATTGTATTAAATAGATACTTACATATGTTTATCTGTTGTAACATATTTAAAAACACAAAACAATACTGATATTTTTTGCTACACCACACATATACCCACAAAATACCATTCTGCTCATCAGGAGTGACAGGCTCATCAGTGATATGGTGTCTCATTTTGCTGACCTGCATCCCTCCTATTAATTATCAATATATGATAATGTCCCCATTTTGTTTATCTATAAAATAAATTTTACCTCTGCTCAAAAGTGGCAACACAGAAGCAACAGCTGAGCAACTTTAATACTTGATGCTTAAACATTTTTACAGTGTAGCCCATATTGAATATTTAAGACTACATGCAGTGTGGGTGGAGCATCTGTCTAAGTGCATATGTAGATGTCAGTGTGTTACGCTACCGTAGGTTTCACCAGATGTTGCTATAATCTCTGCGGTGCAAAGTCTGCTGATTCCTGCTGATCACGTCTCTGCATTTCCTACGGAATTAACATGTGGCGATGACGACAGTGAAACGTTGCAAGGGGCTGGGGATTTTGAGGGGGTGTTCCTAATAGACTGAAAGCTCAAAGCAATGAACATAAAGAGAGTAAAGTAAAGCAAGAAAAAAATTATTATCCTCAGACATAGACATTTATTTAACAATATTAAGTACTTGCAAAAAATCTCATAAATGACTCTTTGAGCCTGGGTTTGTTCTCAGAGTGAATACCAGACGTTGTGTGAGAGCCATCATGTTTTACTTTATCTGTTGTGGATTAAAATGTTGGGTTTATCTTCTTTAAGTCCGCAGTAGAATGCACATGCCCGACAAACTTAAGTTGTGTTTATAAGCAGTGGAGGGATCTTTTCCCTCACTGTTCTAATGTGTTTTCCTCTTTATGAGATCGAGTATCTGTTGCTTTCAACCTGGTGAGGACTGTCAAGGATTGACCGTCTTAGCCTAACTAATGATTGATGCTGAGAAACATTAGTGTCTCGTCATTTTAAGGTGCCTCTGAATGCATAATAAGGGTTGTACACAGATTTAAAGTCAGTGTTCAGTTGTTTGTTTGATCCAGTGCCAGTTATCCTCAACAGAATATTGAGTGTAACTTTGCTCTATCTTTGTTTTGTCTCCTGTGACCATTGAGTTTGTGTGCATTTTGTTGCTGTGTGTGATTCTTGCAGAACCAGTTAGTCTTTTTTACCGAATGTCTTTGCTTTGCATATTTTACACCTTTGCTGAATTTGACATGTTTGGTGTAAACATTCTCTTCTTCTTTTTCACTCTGAGGCAGGATTTGAGAATAATTCAGTCTATAGCCTGAAGTGTTTTTCACAACTTAACCATGAACCTTTATTTATTCTCTTCCATTGATTCATCAGTTAGTCTTCATATACTCATACATCTACAATAGATTACAATGTGGAAGTGGGACAGGTGGTGAAGAAAAACATTTATTCCGATAAATGTTAATCTGACTTGGTCATCTGTAAGATAATTCTCGGCATTGTTGAGCAGTTGAACCAGTTGAGCAGACCTGGCTATTTTTAATTTGACCTTTGTTGTCTTTATCTCATAGTTTTGTGTGTTCATCACTGGTACTGATCTACACGGTTTATTGATGTTTTAAGTCATGATTTTGTATTTCCTCAAAGAAAAAGTCCGATAGCACTATCGGATGTTTAAACTTTGAGACCAAAATACATACAGACAATAGAAATATAATCAGACGCAAAGAAGAAAAGTGTCAACATTTTGACATAACACAGTTGGAGAAGCCAAGAGGATATAAAAAGTGGCAGTGGTTGAATTGCTTTAAACAGCTTTAGTTTCAGGGTCCTAGTGTTGCCTATGCTGTCAGTCTGTCACACACCTGTATGAGTAAAGCAGGTTATTATGGTTAACTTGATTTGACACAGTTGCTGGTAAAGCTTGTTTTAATGTTATGGCAGTTCCAAATCTGATATCGCAAAAGTTCTGGGGTTATTTTCTCTCACAATTTTTGTCTTGTTAAAAAAATAAGAACAATGGTGAGATTTCATGAGGTAAAAACATGAGCGGGTTCTTCCAGCATCAGAAATTGTATTGTGAAATGAAAAGTTGCATTAAGTTATATTAACTGCTGATTTAAACTTGCAAGCTTGTCACGTACAATAAGGTTTTATTTTCAACAGAGGATCAGAGTTTAGAGTTTAGTACATGTGCAGTGTTTGCATGCTGTTGGGGTTTGTATTTACAGAATACATGAGTCAAATGCCTGTTTGTACAAGATCAGTTCAGTTTAAATAACCAAAGGCAGTTATGTAAACTGTAGTCCCACCATGGTCATTGTTCATGTTGAGTCACAGCCAGATCTAATACATTTCTTTTGTAATAAGACTTCTTGTGTTTAGCAAGATATGAGCCTTTCATAGCGGTTTCAGCATTTATGTTTGCTGATATGAAAACTTGAAATCAACAGAAAATGAGAAAATGTGTGACTTTATTTTCTTTTCACATTTTGCATAA